TCGAGAATTCTACCCAGGTAAGAAGCGATTTACGTGGAGAAAAATTAATCCTCTGAAGCAAGCTAGCTATATAGGCTTGATTTTTTTCTTGTATCTCGGAGTTTCTATCAAAAGTTAAAAGAAGTAGAAATTCAAAACGGCTATAGATCTGATCATTCACCAATAGTTTTACACTTTAAAATAAGTGATTTCAATATTGGGAAGCGTTTATTGAAATTTAAAAATAGTTTACTATATGATATAGAATATATTGAAACTGTCAAAGAAAAAAAGAAAACAGACAAAGGATCAATATGTAACCTTAGTATACAATAGAGACACCCTAGATCAAGTGGATTGCTTAGATATTCAATTCACAATAAATGAGAAACTGTTCTTAGAAACACTAATGACCGAATTTAGAAGTAAAACAATTTCCTTTGCATCATATAAAAAGAAAGAAACAAATAAATTGGAAAATGCTTTGGTAAATGAAATTCAAAAATTGGAAGAAAATATACAAATCACAAAAACTCTTGAAAATCTCAACCAAATAAAATCTGAATTACAAATTTTAAGACAATGAAAAATGTGTGGTCACTCGTCCATTTTCGAAAGTCGAACTGTGGCCCTCTTAATGTATTTTGATGTGAACTGTTGTTACGTTGCTGTCTCCTTGGTGTTTATCCGACATTTCCTTTATTCACAGATAATAATAGAAATAAACACAAAAAGTTTTCAGGGATTTGATATGAAACTTAATCTTTTTTTCGCTCTCATCTTTCTGTTTAGTAAGAAGATAAAAAGCAAGACAGTTATTCTATACACAGTATTCTTATTGCTTACCGAGCGCAATTAACATAATGATTAATAGAAAAAAAAACATCCGAGTTGATTTTAAAAGCTTTCGAATTAATGCAAATTCACTTGATTCAAGTTTTATGAACTTGAAAAGAACGATTTACTTGTAGAGTGTAATGAGATTTATTGTGCGGATATACATCACGCAACAGTTTCTTCTTTTGTTTGAATTAAATCGTTTGATGTTTATTACTTTCATAGTTTCTAAAAGGTAAAAATGATGAAACGGAAGACTAAAGGAAGGCATTAGGATTTTTGACGAATCAAAAATATTTCCTGTTGACGAAACACGATACGAGTTGAAATCGAATGTTGAAAAAAAAAATAAATTGTTGAATATAGAAATCGAATGTTGAATGTTGAAAAACGAATGTTTACCTTTATTATAAATCGAATGTAAAAAATGTTAATGTTGAATATTGAAACCGAATGTTGAAAATATGAACATTGAAAAAAATCAAAGAAAAACAAAATTGTTATAAGATTTTGTTTTCATTTTGAATATTTAATCAACTTGACATCCGGGTTATTTGACACTGATGATTGAATTGTGTTTTAAATCTATGTTCTTATTTTTTAAAACCCTGTTTCTTTCCGTTGTTGTACACTTTTTAAGATTGAGTCATATGTGCATTTAGATATTTTAATATTTCATCGTTCTTCATAACGATCCGACATTTTTTGTAAGAATTATCGTTGACGAGTTTCATAATAGCAGCCCTACAGAAATTTTCTCATAAAGGCATTTTTATTGAAAACCAATTGTTCAGATAATAATTGAGGGTAAATGTTGAGTAAACATTAAGTTTCTAAATAATTATTAACAAATAACATTAACGGTACCAGTTTTTATGCACCAGTTGCGGTTTACTCAAAGATACTATTGGCATCCAATCATAGGTTTCTTCATACTGGTTAAAAAGATATATGGTTTTTGCATACTTATATCTGAAATAAGGAGATAATTTGCTACCCTCGGTTTAGAAAATGTTTTTTTTAAGTCTCATATGGTAGCTTTATTCACACTGATACCAAAAATATGTTGTTTCTATTTACTTTTGCTTGAAATAAGGGAGATAAAATGCCAACTCCGGTTTTAAAAAATGTCACTTCTGGTACCATCTGATAGGTCACTTCACACTGATTCTAAAAATATATTGTTCTAGGTGCGTTTAAATGAAATCAGTGCAGGAAATAGCTACTTCCTGTTTATAAAAGGTAACTTTCTGCTGACCTTTTCAAGGTCATATGTCTACCAACCTAATGCAAAAGACCCTACAGCTTTATTACGCATAAATATGAATTTATAGCAACGGTCAAAATCTAGAACTTCAACTTACTTTTGACCTTGGCCTAATTATCAAGGTCACAAAGAAAGGACCTCGAATCGAATGACCCTAAGTTCCTTTTATATATAGTTAATAAGTTATATCCCAATATAGCTAATTTTAGACATAAGAAGGGAGGAAACTCCTATTAAATGTCATCGACGCACCCTTTTAACCAAATATAGATGTTACGACATGTCAAAACTAACACTTTAGTAAACACATTTTGTCGGTATCTTATAAGGTTTCTGAGGAGAAGCAATAATAAGCCAAAATCAAAATTTAGAACATGATTGTGACATTTGACCATGACCTCATTTTTCTTTTGGTGAACAAAAGACCTCAAATCAAATAACCCTAGGTTTCTATCAATAAAGTTACCAGTTACAAATACATACAATTTATAGCAAATGCATAAGGCGAGATAATTCTCATATAGAGTCTCCGGATCGCTTCTGACAAATTTTTTCGACATTCTAAGGATGTATCGATCAATTTTGAAAAATAATTGAAAATGGCTATTTAACGTTTATAACCGAAGGTGACCTTCTTCAAGGTCATATGTCTGCAACCCAATGTAAAAGACCCTATGACTTTATCATGTAGTAATGAGTTTTAGCAAAGGTCAAAATCTAGAACGTCAAATTAAACTTTGACCTTGACCTCAATTTCAAGGTCATACATCAAGGACCTCAAATCAAAAGACCTTAGGTCTCTATAACTTATAGTTTTCCAGTTACAATTATATGTCACTTATTCTTCAGTCAAAATCAAACGTATTAACATGCTGAGGATATAACGATAAATTTGGAAAAATAAATGTGTCGCTTTCTTTTACGGTTGCGAAGGAGTAGTCATAACAAGAAAAACAGTATTCGGGGAGATAATTCTCACAAAGAAAAGTGTTCGGTTTAAAAGGGTCAGTTTTAAAGGTGTATAAACTGTACGATATCATATACAAAATATCTAAGCGACATCTTTTGAAACAACACAGCACAAGAAAAAAATAGGCGGAAGAAAAAAAATCAGAACAGAACCAAAATATTTTCCACGGAAAAGTGGAAAGACCTAATAGTAAAAACAATCAGAACACACTCAAAAGGTCTTTCCATGTTAAAGTTCTTTCCATGCAAAAGTGGAAAGACCTAGTTATATACTTCTGATGGTGAATAGGATTACAGAAGATCGTCAAGAATTTTTTATACTAAAACTGATTATGACAATCTAGTTTTTTAGGTTTAAGTGTGACTGTCCTCTAGTATTTATCTTTATCGTTGATGTTGTATACTTTTATGGCATTATAATGAACCTCTGTTCTAGCCGTATCCTCCTCATAATATTGCATATATTTGTAATCTGAGGTTCTGCACGTATACGAAGCCCGACAATTAAATAAATGTTTTCCTTTTAACGGCTACTAACGTATCAATTACTACTGGCGATATTTTGTATAAAATTTATTATCTGCTTCGAATGTCCACAAATCAATTTTATTTCTTCACTTCCGCAAGTTTTGCCATAATGAATAAGAATATTCTTTTTGTTGCTATACCATTTTTATATACAAGACGTCATTTCAAAGATGTACACAAATGTTACCACGATCTCCAAAACAATTATAAAACTATTATAAACCATAAACTTTGAAAGGTTGACCTTTTGTCCCTTTTATAAATAAATAAATAAATAAATAGACAAATGAATAAAATCAAGAAATGAATAAAGAAACAAAGAAACAAAGAAATAAAGAAGCAAAGAAAGAAAAAAAGAAAAGTCATCAACACATTTGAATCAAAGAAGTAAATATTAGATACATTTTGTATGAAAAGTTATAAGTACACAATGTATGGTGTTGGTAACATTTATCGTATCTACGTACATTTCCACAAGCAATTCTGAATCTCGCCATTTTATATCAAAATTTGACAAAAACCATAGTACACTCACTAGCTGTGATATGTCTATGAACTTAATGACTTAAATGATCTACAGTTGGACGTCCCAGATTTTGATCGTTTGGCTTTAGCAAATATTTGACCAAACTAAGAATATTTCATGGAATACAGTTTTTTCTTCATTGTCAAATGCCCTTGCATATAGTGAGCTCAAGTTACTGACGATTATTGAGTTTTATACTGGTAAACCAACCTTTGGCATACTAATCGCCTTTGCATGTCCAGATTCTTGGAATAAGTTAGAATTTATAAGCATATGTTTTGCTGGTGGACTGATAGTCCCCGAGGGTATCACCAGCCCAGTAGCCAGTACTTTGGTACTGGCATGAAAATACGGATTTTATGTTATCAAAATATGCTGTTAAAAATTTTGGAAATTATTTAAAACTAAGGAATGTATCTCCCTCATGCAAAGCTCTGATTCCTTGCCCAGCTTTTGCTATACTTTTTGGTCCTTTTTAGCCTATAGCTCTTCATATTTTTAATAAGCTTTGGATTTTCAAATATTTTGGCCTCGAGCATCACTGAAGAGACATTGATTGTCGAAATGCGCATCTGGTGCAGAAAAATTGGTACCGTTTATGTTATAATGAATTATAATGAATTCATAAAAAAGACTCACATACCACAAATGCTTTTTTTCAAAAAGAATAAAACAAAAAAGAATGAACAAAAGATTCACCAATTCAGTAAAACGCTACATTTGAATCTTTTTCAAATTTCGGCTTATATTGAAATATAGTCCTTGATATCAGTTTACAGGGAAAGATGTGGATATCCTAAAGATAGAATGTTCCATAAAACAAATCATTCTTGTTCATAGGAAATGAAAAATACTATTTAAGATCGCTTTTTCATGGACTTTTTTTCATTTCAGGGTTTGTGTGTTTACGATATGGACTCCACCGTTCATTGGAGATAGACTGAATCATAACGAAGAATATTCATGTATTTGGGAACCAAATGAAAACAGGGAGTTTATAATTGTAGTTGATGTGATCGGTCATTATTTACCATGCTCCCTTATGGTGATTTCTTACATCAAAGTTTTGGCTGTAATGAGGAAAAGAGGAAAAATTAAACCTAAGAACCACGTGAACGTCAGGTCTACCAGAAATGAAGACTACACAAATAACACCACAGTCAGCAGTATCAATAGTAAAATACAAGATCCCACGATAAACACGCAAAATAAATTATCAAACGATACCACAAAGTCACATGACAAAAACGTAACAAATAACCAGATTGTATTTGTAAGCAGTTCACAAGATTATCGACCCCTTGCTTCAGATCAGCAGACGTCAACGTCATCATCTCAAACTTCGCAGAGAATGCAACGTGAAAATCGATGGACCAATGATACAAAAGACACCACAGATGAAGTAAAGTATAACAAATCAGAGAGAAAAATTTTCATCACCTTGTCATATGTAGTTTTAAGTTATCTTATATTTTGGTTTCCGTTTTATGTCACCTGGGATATATACGCGTTCCATCCTGATCTAGTACCACCGTTATTATATACGGTGATGTTTTGGATGACATACATAAACTCGACCCTTAACCCTATTATCTATGCTTATACAAATAAAGATTTTCGCCGTTCATTTTGGAAAATAATGAGATGCAAGTTTTAAATGTTGATTCAGATGATGTTAATTTAAAACATGAAGAAATATAAGACACGGATAAACTTGTGTTTATAATTAATTTGTAAATTTTTCTGTTTCGGAAATTGTATTATAAGACAAGCTTAAGTATATGTTTTAATGTTGTGATGAATTCTCATAATTACCAATAAAGAGTTACCCTCGCACACTCCTGTGTAATAAAAGAAGACAAAAATAGTTTGAAATTACAGAATGCAATTGTCGTGAAAATCTTAACATTCATCTTGGAAAATGATATATTCATTGATAAAACAAACAAATACTGAGTGTAGGTGAAGTGGACAATACATTTACTGGGTGGACATTTGTGGAAGTGAAAAGTACTTATATATGTATATATAAGTCTAGAGATTTGCACTACGATACTAGTATAAGATGGTATTATACGAAGATGTTGTTATTAAATCGTGTGGACAAATATCGGAATTCGTTGACTTCCATCTTCGTCAACATGTTGAAGACTTACCATCTCACATCAAAGATACTACCGATTATCTTGGAAAATTGCAGGCCTTAAATCCACTCCCCTCCGACACGACACTTGTCTCTATGGACGTCACCTCCCTCTACACGAATATTCCACATGCAGATGACATTGATGCATGTAATGAAGTTTGGAATTCCTGACCAGTGAAATTTCCACCTACTGAATGCCTGGTCAAAATGCTCACGCTGGTACTTAAAAACAACAACTTCACTTTTGATGGAGATCATTATCTGCAAGTTAATGGAACTGCTATGGGCAACAAAATGGCTCCATCATATGCCAACATATTTATGGGCAAATTAGAAAAACAACTCCTTGAATCTTCCATCGAAAAACACATTTCCTGGTTTAGATTTATAGATGATGTGGATATGAAATGGAATAAAAGTGACGAGGATTTAGATACATTCATCACTCATGCCAACAACATACATCCAAGTATCAAATTTACTCATGAGAAATCTAAATCCAAAATCACCTTCCTCGATACCTCCAGCTCGCTCACAGATGGCATCATATCCACTGATCTATATTCTAAGCCTACTGACACTCAACAATATCTGTCCGCTAAAAGTTGCCATCCTGCTCATTGTACTAAGAGCACCCCGTACAGTCAGGCACTCAGAGTCAAGCGAATATGTTCCAACACAGAAACAACTAAAAAACAACTACGTCAACTCGAAACCCGCTTGAAGAGAAGGGGCTACAAACACAGAACTATCCAAAAAGGTTTTCAGAAAGCGGAAACTATTCCAAGGAGTAAACTGTTAGAATACAAATATAAAAAGAAAAATAAAAGGACTCCATGTGTTCTTACTTACCACCCATCTCTCAAAAACAGCTTCAGTGTCATTCGTGAGCATTGGAAAACAGTTGAAAAGAATTCCAAACTATCCAAGATTTTTCCCGAACCTCCCATGATAGCTTTTAGGCAACCCAATAGTCTGCGGAACCTGCTGGTGCGGGCTGAAGTGTCTGATAATAGAAGTACTTCTGGAGAATGTCGTTCGTGTGATGAAAAACGCTGCAAATGCTGCCTACAGATGCATCACTCATCAACTTTTCACAGTAAGGCAACCGAAAATAACTATAGGATATTTTGCAATGTTAACTGCAAAAGTATGAATGTTATTAACATTCTAGAATGTTTGGTTTGTGGCCTCCAATATGTTGGTGAGTCAAAGCAGCCTTTCCACAAACGCCTAAATGGCCATAGGAGTGATATCTCTAAGAAGCCACTTCTCCCAGTTTCTCAGCATTTCAGACAGTCTGGTCACAAACTTGATGACTTTAACCGCATGAAGATCCTAGTGATTGAACAGAACATTCACTGGAGTGATGCCCAGCGACAGGGTCGGGAAAGCTTTTGGATAAAGGAACTAAATGTACATCATCCAAACGGCATCAATAAAAAAATACTAAGTTTTATTTTTCACTCATTTTGGGATGTAAATATACACAGTCACGTATATTTGAGTATTGAGTTTTGTTTTATATTATGATGTTCAGGATTTTGGATTAAATCAATAGACCAAAACTTACCTGTATTACTGGGCTATTTTTATACATATAATCAGTATTGTTAAAATTATTGACACTGAGGAAGGCTATTTGTTAAGCCGAAATATTTGTCTACACGATTTAATAACAACATCTTCGTATAATACCATCTTATACTAGTACCGTTGTGCAAATCTCTAGACTTATATAATTTTTTCCTTATCTGCACAGTATCGTCTATTCTAGACGATCCGGTACATAGTAAATTTGCTGGTTGGTCCTTTTTATAGACTTCTATATATATACAAGTCTAAATTGAAAACAACGTTCAAACCTATGATTGCGTTGGATAAAAACCGCAATTTTTATACGTGTGCATGCAAAACAAATTTCTTGTCAAAGGGTTTTAAATACAGCACAAACATATATATATATATTCATAATTACTCTAAATATCAGCACAACAATGTTAAATCGGCACATTTGGGGAAGCAAATTTTTGTTCTTCCCTCGCCGGGATTCGAACTCATGCGATTGGGATATCGAGACAAAACCGCCTGCACTGTGTCCAGCGCTCTAGTCCACTCGGCTACCTAGACTTAACTAATAATTCAGCTTTCGATGGCCTAGTGTTACCTTTCCTCGTCAGTAGAATCTAGAATTGTAACACAGTACATATTATATTAGGCATGAAGCTGGTATTGATTGCAGAATAGCTAAATATCTATCGCAAAGGATAGTAAGATGCAGTCACAGAAATATATATATGAATGTCTAAGAATATAACTTAAACACGCTAACTGATACATTAAAAAAGTTCTATTAGATTTTTTATAGATATACTCAAAATTTCGCTAGACAAACTAGCTTCATCAAGCGTGTGCATCTATCCGGTGAAATCGGATGCATGACAAAAAATATTTTTGTAAATATAATTTTGCGTTTTTCAATTGGATGTTATAAATATGTTGTATTTATATTTTGTGAGTGTGCTGACGAATTGGGTTTCAATGTTGGCGACTTTGCAGCATTAACAGTTGCCTCTTCCGCATGGTTTATATCCTCCTATTTTCGATGTCTCTTGTTTAGATACTTTAGATGTAACTAGAATATCTTTGAGGTTTTTGGGTCTGCGGTAAACCATGACGGGAGGTGATGGAAATATCTCTTTTAAGGAAGGATCATTTTCAATAAGACGCCAGTGTTTGTTGACAGTAGATGAAAGATTTGTCAGGTCAGGATGAAAGCTGACAACAAACGGAATTTTATTTGTTTGGGCCGTCTTTTCCTTGTATTCAAGTAGCTTTGTTCGGTCTTTTTCTTTTGCTACTGAAATGTTTTTGTCCTTATAACCTCTTGATTTAAGTTAATGTCTGAGTCGTCCCAAAAGGTGGCTTAATTTTGAATCCGATAAGCAAATCCGCTTTAAGCTGGGGTCACACATTCACGATTTTTACTGCCGACCTTGATATGACCATTCCCGATTAAAATTTGTCAAAAGTCTGATCGAGATCCTGTGAACCGTGGCTGGAAATTCAAACATTTATTAAAATTTGTAAAATAAAACTTATTTAATCACGAAAACAAACAGATATTATTCAGGAAGCGTCCAAATTCTGCCGTTTCCGTCCGATTTGTCCCGATTATTACGTTCTCAATCTGATTTTAATCCGAATGTATCTTTCCCATGGTTAAAAACGACCGAATCTGTCCCGACAGCGTCTCGATTCTGCAGAATGCGACCCGACAGACATCAGACAGCGACCAGACAGTGAACCGATGCTAACGGAAGATATCCGTTAGGAAACTGTCACCATATTCGGGGTGATCAGGTACTGTCGGAACGCAATCCTATCACAGTCTGCTGTGCCGCATTGCAAACGGCTTTGTCTGTCTGTCTGACTCAGTCGTATCGTTTTCTGTAATTGTCGGGACTCTGACGTGGGTATTATTGCCGAATTTCGTATTAATAACGGGCCTGCTCCGGAACGGTTTCGGTAAAAACGGTTCGAAATCGGGATACAATCTATACTCAATCGGCAAAAAAACAGCAAATTTCTCCATATCATACCCGTTCCACAGGACACGTCCAGAAAACACAGATCATTGTTACGATTTTGATCCGATACAGCAGAAGTGTCACGACATAGTCACGATTGTAATCCGACTAGGCAAATCGGCTGAGTTTCCCCGAATGTTACGGGACGCACCGAACTGTCGCGGGTGCTTAGCCGACCTGTCCGATCCGTAGGAATCTGTTACGAACGTATACTACAGCGTTCAGACAATGATAGGACATTCCAGATCATTGAGGATAGTAATCCGACTTTTTTCACTTTTCGAGTCTTAGCGCTGTCCGATCTCACGGAAGCCATAATCATCACTGCTTGATCTCCGCATAAACATGATAGCTTGGCTGTACGGATTGCTTCGGGAACATTGTTTTGGGTGACAACTCTTCGGAGAGAGAAATTGGTGTTTGTCAGTTTTTTTTTTTGGTGAAGGTCGGTTGTCATGACTCCGTTTTGTAAAGTTATGGTGGTGTCGAGAAACGCAATTTTTCATTTGAAACTTCAGATGTGAACTTTATAGATTGATGAAAGTTATTGCAAAGATCTAGAAAATCTTACAGATGATTTGCGGTTTCGTTCCATTTGATGTCGATGTCATCAATATAACGGAGCCAAGACAAGGGTTTGCATGACACACTAGAAAGAATGCGTTCTTCGAGATTCCCCATGAAAATGTTGGCAAAAGAAGGTGCCATTTTGGTTCCCATACTGGTACCGTCAATCGCCAAGTAGTGCTGGTTGTTGAATACAAAATTGTTGTTTTCGAGCACTAGTTTCAGCAGCTAAACAAGACAGTCGGTTGGGGGATGTTTATCCTTACGATTATTCCATTCCTTTTCACTAGCGACTAATCCTTCATTCTTCGGAATATTAGTGTATAAGGAACACACATCCATCGATACCAAAAT